TGGGATAATGGGTGAAGTGTTAAATAAGTACAAATTGGTAGCTGATGGATGATTACGGGGATGGGGAGGATGGCATGGGAGTGCAGTTAGCATTAATATGTTGGCTAGGTAGAGGGTCAGGGGAGGGAGGGAGCAATTGGGGGGATTGTTTTATGAACTATATAGATGTCTAACCAATGTACTATGTACTTGAAACTAAATTTAAAAATAATAATAATAAAAACAAAAAAATATATATCAAAAGAGACTGTGTCTGCTTATCTGAGGACAAGTCATCTTTATTTTCTTCCTTTGTAAAAATTTTCTAAAGTTCAGCCCAGAAGAATTTTATCATCAGGAAAATCTCCAGTGTATACTGGTTTAGAAACTAAAATAAAATGGAGCTGAAACTGAGGGCAGGCCCTGTGGGAAGGGACCCACCGGGTGAGCAGCATGGGGTTCCTGCTCCTCACCTTCATGGTTCTGAGGACAGGACGCCCCACCTCCTGGCTGTAGTACCCCACGCCATTCACAGTCATGTTGATTGTTAAGGTCCCAGAGACAGGTTTCCCAAAGGTGTACCTAGAACAAAAGGACCAGAGTAGTTAATTTCTCAAGCAGTACTGCGGTCGCTGGTACAGCAGCTGGACGGGGGTGGAGTCCAGGACTACCTGCTGACCGTGCCCCGGAAGTACTCAAGGACGTCCGCCAGATCAAGTCCCAAACAGGGACGCTTCCCCATCCTACATTCCATCCTTACAGCCATTCCTGCAGCCTTGAGTCAGGACAGATAATGTCTGTGCCTTGGGATCCTCTGCACTAAGCCTCATGTTGGACAGAGAAAGAGTCCGAGGGTCAGAGAGAAACTCTGGACCCAAGAGCAGACCGGATGTGTGAGAAAACCACTGGGGTTGGTGACTCTATTGGAGCACCAGGGAGGCCTGGCCCTAAGTGCCCTAATGAGTTCAGCTTTGAACTAGGGACTTGATTTCTTCGAACCTCAGTTTCTCCACCCAGAAAGTGGGAATAAAACTATCATCTCAGGGATGTTGGTGAAAGGCCTGGTCATTAAGGGGACAACCCCTTCTAGAAATCCCTGTCAGGTCGGCCCGCAGCTGTGGGTGCTGCCTGTGGGGAAGGGGGAAGTGGGACTCTTAGGAGAAGGAGCACGGCCTGGGGTAGGGGGATGCCTGACAGGGATGGGTCAGTTCTGGGGAGGGTGCCCCCTCAGGGGAGGGGCGCATCCCAGGGTGAGGAGCATGTCTTCAGGAGAGTGGGAGGGGGAGAGCAGCAGGGGAGGGGCAGGCCTGTGGGAGGAGGAGCATGCCCACGGGGTAGGGACACCCAGTGGGAGGAGAGACATGCCAGGGGGAGGGGCACAACCGCAGTGGCCAACACCTTCTCACCTGGCCTGCACGGTCCCGGTCTCACAGGCGTCCAGGTCCCTGATATAGTGGGGTGGGTCAATAAGGAGCTCAAACTTTGGCAGCACTGAAGAGAGAGAGCAGAGAGGAGGAAGGCAGGCGGCTTTCACCACTGGGGTGGCCTCAGAGGAATAATGGAGGGATCAGAGAAATGACAGCCCCGCCAACGCACGATGACACGATAGGAATCCACATCGCTCTGTGTTGAGCACCAGCAGCTCTTTCAGGGTTTGCCAGCCACATCTACTCCCTATCTTTTTTTTTCCTAAGGCGAGGCTACCCTTGGTTGACCTCACAGATTGCAAGGACCTTGTCAGTTTTTTGTTGTTGTTTTTTTTTACGCCTATAGCACCTGGTCTTCCTAGGTGGTCTCCCATTCAAGTACTAACCAGACTCAACCCTGCTTAGCTTCCGAGATCAGATGGGATCAGGCTTGCTCAGGGTAGCATGGCCGTACACCCCTATTCCCTATCTTTGAGGGACCAGCACCCCGTTTCTCTCAGGGAGCAACGTGCTTTGAGTGCAGCCAACGTCGGCCTATCCCAGAGGTGTGCCAGTGGCTCCTGGACCAAGCAGGGGCATCCTGGGGGTGCTGACAGCTGGAAGAGACCTCGCTTTGCTGCAGGACTCAGCCCCGGGAGCATCCAGCTGTCTGGTCAGCCTGTGCAGCTCACAGCTTGGGGAGGAAGGACCGACACCCAGGATCAGCCTGGAGGAAACCTGGTCCTGAGAACTTGTTCCACGAGCCACTAAATTCCTTTTCTTTTGCTTACTGAATTTTCACTGGGCTTCCACTGCTTGCATCCCTACGGCTTTTCCTTCTGGGATCTTCCTCTTAAAAGCAGAAGAAGCCTTTGACCACGTAAGCAAGATTTTCTCACAGAAGCATAGTAACCGGCTCTGGCAGGTTCCCTCCCCAGCTCTTGAGCACTTTCCTTAATGGCCCTCTCAGCCTCAGTTTCCCCGTCTCTAAATTGGAGATGGCTCACAGGGTCAAGACAAGAATGAAAGGACAAAAGGAAATGATGGCCTTAAAAAGGAAGGGAATTCTGATACGGGCTGCAGCACAGATGAACCTTGAGGACATTATGTTGAGTGAAACAGCCAGTCACAAAAGGACAAATATTGTGTGACTCTATTTATACGAAGTCCCTGTAGGAGTCACATTCATAGAGACAGAAAGTAGATGGTGGGTGCCAGGGGCTGGGGGAGGGGAATGGGAGTTAGTGTTTAATGGAGACAGAGTCCCAGTTTGGGAAGATGAAAAGTTCTAGAGATGGATTACAGTGATGGCTGCACCCAATGTGAATGTACTTAGTGCCACTGACCTGTACCCTTAGAAATGGTTAAGGTGGTAAATTTTATATCACTTATATTTTACCACCATTTTTTTTTTTTTAAAGACACAGCAAAGGCCAGCCCTCCACACCATGCCCGGGTGTCCCAAGCCCTCAATGTACAGGGCTCCTGCCATCCTTCCCTTCATCATCTGTGTCACCCCAAGGTCTGTAGTTTCTCTCAGATGAAATCCTTGGATCCTAGATTCTCCAACTTACCATACTTCTGAACTTCAAAGGACTTGTTGTACACGTGGCCTTGCATTTCGACAAAAATAACCCATTCTCCCAGCACCGGCTGGTCGGACAAGGGGAAGGTCATGTTGGTGACGCCTGTGTGAAGAGAGAAGCCCCCTCAATCTGGGGCAAGCGCAAGTGCAGAGAGCCAGCTGGGCCCCGTGTCCGGCAGCAGCGTGGTCAGGGCAGAGGCGCCCTGGGGACCCTGTGCCTGCCCCAAACAGCCCCTCAGGGAAGGCAGAGACCATACTGAGGCTGGGGGGTCTGGGAAGAAGCAGCCCTGCAGACCGGGGTTGCAGAGGAGCAGGAAGAGACTGCACCTTGGGTTCCTGAGAGAGCCCTGCATTCCAGGTGAGGTGACAAGCCAGGGAGACGGGCCACCCAATTCATCCACTTCTACTCCCCACCTGAGTCATTCCTGTGGTGAAGGAAGACTGCACACCCCCTGTGCTTACTTGGCAGCCCCTCACAGGTCTCTCAGAATCAGGAAGAGGAGAGGGGACATGGAGAGGGGTAAAGGCCAGCCCAGAGGACTTGGAGGCATGACACTGCGCAGACCACCACGGCGCGTGTGACTGCTAGAGACCTCGCACTCCCATAATGGCTCACATAGGCACGTGGGGTCCGGGAGCCCCTCTGAGCAGGACATGAAATCTTTCACACTTGTGCGTTTTCCAGGCTGAGATTGTACAGCTGTCCTCAGTTTCCCCATATCCCACCTATCACCTACCATCTCTTAGGGCTCCACTTCCCTTAGGGTCAAAGCTAAAAGGGCAATGTCAGCGACACAGCCCTTATTGTCATAGAGAAAGAAAAAAAAAAAAAGCCAACTCCTCAGCCAAAGCAAAGCCTCTGATGCCTAGCTGGAAAAGAGACATCTCATGCTGGGTGGGGGGTGATCATGTGAAAGACCTGCAGTGGGAAGAAGGCTGTGGGGTGCTGACAAATCAGGCCCTAATGTTTCAGAAAGGTCTCCAGCGACAGGCAGGTGCCCCAGCTGGATCCCAGGCACAGAGACGAGTGGGCGGAGGGCACCCAGAGAGAGCACGTTCTCTTTTCCTGAAGGTTTATCACATCTGCCACCCTAAGGCGCAGCCCTCAAACCACAGAAGAAAGAAGGGGCGAGGATGGGAGGAGACTTACCGCAGCAGACCGGCTCCACGTGTCTCCACTCCATCATCCTTGAGCCCCGGGGGTCCTGCGGGGGGACACACGCAGTAAACACAGGGCTGCAGCACGTGCCCAGCTTGTGTGCAGACCTTCCAAGCCCTCTCTCTAGGGCAGGACAAGCACAGAGGGCAGGCCCCATATTAGCCATTGACATGGGAGCAAACAAGAGCTCAGGATATAGAAGGGACTTGTCTGAGGACAAGGGAGTGGAAGGGACCAGGCTGGGCCCGTCTCACCATTTAGGGACCACCATTTAGGAACCTGTGTGCAATCAATAAAGAGACAGATAGGCACATGCTTGCCTGTCCCGCAGTGGACCTGGGGACCAGAATGGATAGGGTCCCAGCTTGTGAGGTGCTGGGAAGACAGGGATCAGCCCAGAGGGCAGGCAGTAGGAAAAGACAGACCAGATCTTGCCGAGACCGGGCTAAACAGGCCCAGAGTCAGAGCTGAGGGGGGAAGGCCACTCACCAGGATGTAGGCTTCCAGCTGCAACAAAGACAGACAGATGCGGTGAGCAAACCCCCCGGAAATCCCCCAACCCTCCATGCATGCTGTGTCTTCATCCATGTATGGTCGGGCTCCCTAGGGACAGGCACAGTCACTATTATGGGTTGAATTGTGCCCACCCCTGCAATTCTTACATTGACATCTAACACCCAAGACCTCAGAATGTGACTGTATTTAGAGATGGTTCTTTATAATCAACTTAAAATGAGATCATTAGAGCAGGTCTTAAATAGGATTGGTGTCCTTATAAGAAGGGATGATTTGGACACAGAGATGCATAGAAGGAAGACAATGTGAAGACATGGAGAAGACAGCCAGCTACAAGCCAAGGACAAAGGCCTGGAACAGATCCTTCTCTCATGGCCCTCAGAAGGAAGCAACCCTGCTGACACCTTGATCTTGGACTTCTGGCCTCCAGAACTGGAGGAGAATAAATTTCTGTTGCTTAAGCGACCTGATTTACAGTACTTACTCGTAGTTGCCACTGGCAATGAGGGTGGTGGGGTCAAGCCCTGTCACAGGGCCTCTGTGCCCCCTGCTCCCCATCATGGTTCTGCCCTCCCTTCTAGGCTTTCCGCCCCCAAACATGGATGGCTCCTCTAGGTAGCCCTCCCAGACTGTCACTGGGGTATTTTCTCGGGCAGCCCCTGCCAGTTTCCTCAAAAACCTAGAACACGTGCTTTCATCTCTGAACCCCCCGGCACCCACCTGGAACCTGGCAGCGAGCCGGTGCCCATCAATGTCAAACTGAACAGTCAGTCACCGCTGACCCTGACCAAGACGCGGCACTCTCAGGCGGAGGTTCCGGCTCCCATGGCTGAGCTTCCTGATCCCTGCACCGTGCCCTGCCCTGTCCCCATGCGTGGCTGACCCCGTGCAAGTGGATCCGTTCCCACTAGCTCAGGGCTCCCTGTGTATCCAGGGGTATCCGGGTTGACAATCAGTTTCTTGTGATTTTTATCCTTGCACGAGCCCTTGACCAACCTTCAGAGGAAAATGGGCAGCCGCACACATCCAGGGCTCTTCCCCTCTACATGTGTGTCAAGCCCATCCTGGCAATAATCGCGCATCGGAAGGAGCTGACAGCAAGTGACTGATCCCCACCCTCTCCCCAGGAAAGGCTGTGGGCACATGATCCCTTCAGACATCTGGGCGCAGGAACACAGCACCATCCACTCAGAAAGCAACAGACACACACGACCAGGACCTTCAACACCGCCTTAGCCATGGACCCCGAAATCCCACTCCTGGGGTCCAGCTGAACCTGAAAAGGATGCACCAAGGGGAAAAGAAGTTTTGCGCATAAAGACAAATCTGGCAGCGTTTCTGACAACGCTGAAACCTGGAAACGAGCAAATGTCCTCCAGGAAGGGGCAGTTAGGTACAAAGCCTTCCTGGGCAAAAGGAACTCAGGCACTGAGGTGAGTTTACAAGGCGGTGTCCCCAAAACGTGGGCAGGTGCATTAAAATATCCAATGAGAAAGCACAGAACCTTGGGATGAAGAAAGACGAGAAAAAGCAGTGTGTACCCACAGAACTGCTCTTCTAGGCTGGCCACTAGGAACTCTGCAGGGTTATTTTCCAGAATATGAGCCCCATGGGGGTGGGGTCTGTGTCTGCTCTGCTCAGTAATGTGACCCAGGCACTCAGTACTCAAGGACGCAAGCAAGTACGCGCCTTACACGTGTCCCCTCAGGGCTCCCTAAACTGAAGTCACCTGCAGACACGTTCACATCTTTGCTATGTAGTACGTGTACAATTTATTTAGATCTCTTCACAATCAACATCTTTCTGAAAGCTCCTTCTTTGCAGCAGAATGTCAACTTAGAAACGTAGAAGAAATAAAGCTGGAAAAATCACCACTTTGCAATCATCATAGCAAGTTTTGATTCACATAATTTTGGAATCGTCTGTGGTTGCTAGAACTAGTAGATGAGCATCTGATGGGTAACAGGGCGTCCACGGAGCCTCAAGTGTCCCCCACAGATTACTTATTGACTACGAAGAGGACATACAGATTTGAGAGGAGAAACGGGGCAGACTCTACCTGAACCACTGGCTGCAGTTAATATCACCAACAGGACAAACCAACATCAGGTGCCTCCCGATATGATGCACCATGGAGGACCAGCATGGCTCCTGCAGGTCTGGTCCCAAGATGCACAACCTGAACCTGGTCACATAGAAATAGCAGGCCGGCCCGCTTTGGGGGCGTTCTGAGGAACAACTGCCTGGACTCCCCCAAAATGTCAACATCATGAAAGGCACAGAAAGGCTAGGGAACTGATTCAGATTAAAGGACGCCAAGAGACATGACAATTAAACACAACATGTGGTCCAGAATTAGATGCTGGACCAGCAAAGAAACACACTATACAGGATACTGTTGGAACAATGTGGATTTTATATTAGATAATACTGTTGTATCAATGTCAAAATTCCTAAATGTGATGATTATACTTAGGTTGTATAAGAGATCGTTCTTGTTTCTAAAGGATACAGGTGTTAGGGGGTAAAGAGGTATGATACTTGCAAATTATCCTCAAATGATGTATCATTAAAATAATTTCATTAAGTATATATGTACATATGCGTACACACACACACACACACACACACACACACACACACACAAAGCACATAAATGAAACAAAAATGTTTTAACTAGTAAATCTAGATCCGTGGTTCTAAAAGTGTGTTTCCCCAGACCAGCAGCAGCATCAACTGGGAGACTGTTAGAAACATGGCCCCTCAGGCCCCTTTCCAGAAACTCCTGAATCAACACCTCTGGAAAGGGCCCAGCAATCTCTATTTCAACAAGCTCTGCAGAGAAATCTGATGTACACTCAAGTTTGCGAACCACTGATCCAGATCAGGGCTTGGCCAACTCTGGCCCTCAGGCCGAATCCGGCCCTCTGCCCATTTGTTTAAATAAAGCTTTATTGGCACCCAGCCATGCCCATTCATTCACACGTGTCTGTGGCTAAGTTTGTGCGACAACAGCAGGTCTGAGTAGTTTCAACAGAATCCTTCTAGCCCAAAGACCCAAACATGGTTACTACCCAGCCATTTACAGAAAGTTTGCCAATCCCTGGCTATGTGAAGGGCATACAGGATCTCTCTGTGCTGCTCTTCCAACTTGTCTGTATGTTTGAAGTTATTTCCAAATAAAAGTGTCCAAGAAAATCAATGCCCTATTTCTGTGAATATGTTTATTTCAAAGAAGAAATAATAGGTTTGATGTGCAGTTATATTTCCTTTCTAATAAATGTTAAATAAATGCAAGGCTACCAGGATTTCAAATGGTTATCAATAGCTACTTAAATCCTTCCAAAGCCTGCACAGAGGCCACTTTGGGGACCACTGGAGACCTTTTATTGAGGAACAGCGCATCCACCAGCATTCTTGCCTCCCTCTGTCCCACAGACCTCCCCCAGGGCCTCCCAGAAGACATAGAGCCCAAGGAAGGAATCGAAATTAGAGGCAGAAATTGGAAAGAGCAGGGGAGAAAGGCCAGTGCTGACAGTGCCCTGGCCAGGGAGTCTCATGTGGGTGTGGTCTGGGCACACGCTCTTAGAAACCAATCTCACCTCCTCGCTGACAGGCCTCAGGTCTGGGGTGACAGTGAAGACACTTATGAGCACTGGAAGAAAGAAGAGAGGCATGTAGCAGCTCCAGACGGTGGGCAGCCCTCTCCCCCGCCCGCGCCAGCTGCCCACCTCGGTGCTGGGGCCTGTACACAGGCTTGTCGGTCTGGATGAACACAGAGGCTCCCCGGCTGTCCACTGTCACGGAGGTCTGGTTGTGGAACAGGGGACCCTCCTCTGCGTGCTGGCCAAGGCCCCACACCTTCAGGAGGGCCTGGCCCTGGAGGCCCACAGGCACCTGCAGGTAGAGCACAGAGCTTGGAAACGGGGTGTCACCCCGAAAAGGACCTAGGTGTTGGGAAAGCAGCATGGCAGTCTAGGTAGGGGTGCTCACCAGGGCAACTGTGCCCCCCAGAGGATACTTGGCAGTTTCTAGAGATGTTTTTGGGTGTCACAGCTAGCGGGAGAGGAGTGCTACTCTCATGTAGTGGGTGGAGGCCAGGGATGCTGCTCCATAGACTGGAGACTCCCCAAAAGGACCTTATATTCTTAGCACTTAGAAAAGGCCTGGATGATCATTTCTCAAGTTGGAGAAGGGGTGGGGAAGGATTCCGCCCTCTCCTCAGGGGACACTGGCAGCGTCTGGAGACATTCCTGGTTGTCATAACTAGGGATGAGAAGGCTACTGGCATCTAATGGGTTAAGATCTGCTAGTCCCCTCTCTCCCAGAATTATACAGCTCTTCTTCAGCTCCTATACAAATCCAAAGCACCTATCCTGGGAAGAGTGCTTTCTTGTGTGCAGTGGCCAGGGACAGCACATAATCTTAACCCCTGTCTGGGGCAGCCCTGCCTTCTGATTCACGAGGAAACAGATCTGCTCAGAGGAAGCCTGAAAGGGTAGCTGTAGGGTATCTGTCGAGGGTTCCCCAACTGCTGACATCTGGGGCTAGCTCGTTCT